TTGGATCGTTAACAAGAGCTATACCGGTTTTCTGTTTAAGTAGACCAATATTATTAAAATAATTAAGAAAAAAATCGAAAAATCGCAAAGCTTTATAACTCTAAATTTCTTACCTTAATATAATCTCCGAAATATTTGCGCAAAAGGTCAAGTGCATTTACTCTTGATAGAAGCTGGTATAGAAGTTTTAATTCTTTTAGATGCCTGTCATCATTATCATTATCATCTTCCATCATATCAGCGAATCCTGATATAAATGGTAAAATAAAAATTTAAGCGAATCGGGTTGTCATATATAATCGATACTATCTAATTTTATGCATCTGGACGCTATATGTATTTTAAGCTATAAGAACCAATTTTGTGTTAAGAATTAAAAAAAAAACCCCCAAATTGTCATGCACTTATAGAGTATATGCATTTAGACAGCATGCATTTAGATAGTATGCATTTAGATAATATGTATTTAAACAGTTAATCATTATTTACCTTTTTCCAGAATAGTATCAACGTGTCTTTTGATCAATTCATCATAAACAACTTTCGTCAAGGGGCTCCTTGTTTTTTTGTCTAAATAGTTGTTGACCCGCTCCCATTCCATATATAATCGCGATTTGACGTGTCCAAGATATCTTGGTACGGAGTACTCAGTTACAAGTCGATGTCCTTCTTGATAATAATAATTACGAGTCTCTTGTAGGAATGGACTTTCAAACCGATTATAATAGACGGAAAGGTCGATATACATATGTATTAAGGAATGCAGCAGACGATTATTAACCTCTTCGCCATCCCTAATAGTATATGTGTGTGAATTTTTAATTTCATAGTTATTAGACATATCTACTCGGAAGATTTAATAAAATCCTACCTATCACGTTTGATCAGCGAAAGTAAACCATTCAAAGTCTTTTGTCGTACATCATTAGATGACATTATATGTTTTCTAAATAATTCGATCCCCATATCCCTAAAATTGACTTAAAATGATTAATTTTATTAATGAATAAATAAATATATAAATATATAAATATAGTTTTCAATATTACCATATCGAAACAATTCCAGGAGTTTGAAGTACATAAGTACGATCAAGGTATAAAAATATGCTTCGAATTAAACCCTAAGTTCCCAGATTCGATAGATCAACAATCTGAATGCCATACTATGGAAACTGAATGAATTACGCATTTAATAAACTACCATTTGTTCACAATGTGCTT